TTATTTTCACTTGAGTATACTTTTTAGTCGTTTATTCTCAGATATCTTGAACTCCTGTTATCTCAAATTTTCAGGGGGTTGAGATAACAGTATCCAACTGTACAAGAAGGCTGGGTCATAAAGAATGAGAGTTGTATAAAACTGAAGCTCTCGCTCATGTTTGAATGCACACTGGCTATTTTGCACTGGTGTTCACTGTTGAATTAGAAGCTGATCAAGTTTTCCTGAGATTTGGCTTTGTCACTTCTGGGAGTCACACAATATGACTGTGGGGTGACATAATTAAGAAAATTCATATCCATTTCTCATCCGGGATGAGAGTATGATAAGAATTGTTTTAATAATGCCCAAAATATAATTGGCACTTGTTTTCATTGATTCAGGATGGTGATTAAAAAAAAAAAGAATTGTTTTTTTCCTTGACAGAATTACTAATCATGTTCCCTCAAGCACCTTCCTTGAAGGACCTCCATGTTGTAAACTGGAATAACCCCCCAAAATAATTTAGAAATTAGTGGCATATCTGTTGTTTTCTTCCTCATTCATTCTATGTTACACAGTGGAGTAGTTTTCAGTTTATTGGTGTGAAAAACCAACCCAAAGTAATTACACTGGTCAATCACAAACTGATCGATATTCCAGTGAACCAATCAAAACTCAAAGGAAATAATTTGTAGGTGGCTAATGTAAAGAATTGGGAAAATGTGTAAGAGCAAGTGACAATAAATAGTCACTGGTTTTGGTTTACTTCTTATTGGATGACAACGTGGTGGTGTAGCGCGAGCAAAACCATAGCAAATGCAAGTTCCTTTTGACACGTAAGTGAAAATTGCTCTAACCAATCAGAGTAGTCAAGGTGACACAATGTATGTGAGACTCAAGTACCACAGTTACTAGTATGCAGCTCCCATAGAACAGTAGAAAAGCAACTTAGACTATTCTTCTTGATTCTTGTCCATATCCTTACTTGTACACCTATTTCACTTCAAGTGATCTTGTCAAGTGAGTTTGTCTTCTTTCTGCCTCTGTACAGATGTTCATTGCAATGTACAGGACTGGTGTAACTCTCGACAAAGAGTTTGCTGTTATCCTCAGAACTTCCCTTCTACTTTTTGTCTTTGGTGTCAAAATTTGTTAACTCTTTGTTGTTTTAGAGGCTCAAAGTTCTATTTTCTACTGCCAATGTAGGTATGTACGAGCACTGGGAGCCATGTACATGAGGCTTGTAGGGACGTCAATGGATTGTTATAATTACCTGGAGCCACTTTACAATGATTACAGAAAAATCAGAAGGAAAAATAAGATGGGAAGTAAGTTTTCCAATATCAGTATCTTATCATAGAAAAGTGTTGTGCTGTCCTACGGTACACTTTATTTGAGGTTTCTGCAAGCCCAATAACCTGAGGCTTGTGAAAATAACTGTAGATAATATTTGAGATAGTAATGTTTGGGGCTTAGTAGCCTTGCTTAAGTAAAATCTTTTGTAGGCCAAAGTGGCCCACACAGCCAGCTCAGCCTTTTGTAATTTCTGTAGAATGAGTTACTGTGATCCATACAATTTATATTTTTGTGAAAGTTAGGCTGCCAAATATGAAGGGAAAAGAACTTCTGCATAACAACAAGCTGTTTTCTTCTGCACAATGTTTCAAGAAGGCAATTCACTGAAACTAATTTGTCACTTTACTGCAAAATTGGGACAGTTAAAGGTACCAATCACTATTACAAGAGACCTCAAATTAATGTGTTGTTCCAGAAAATGTCTATACCTCCCCCATGGAAGGGATTTTTTCTAAGACCCCTACTCCTGTGGAAATTCTAATTAATCTTCGTACATTTTAAAAAATTTTTTGGGCTTACATAAGTCCCCCACCCCTAGGAAATTCCAGTCCCTTCTATGGGGGGCAGGGGAGTGTGGATATTTTCTGGAACTGTACAATCTACTTGAGGTTCAAAAAAAATTTGAAGCCACTGAGTGCTGATTATTTTTACTAACACATGACAAGTGTGGTTTCACTAAATGAGGTTATATTGTTTATTTTAAAAGAAATGGAGCTTTCTCACATGGATGAGTTCATTGATGAGCTGCTTAGAGAAGACAGAGCCTGTGATGTCATTCTGCCTCGCATTCAGGTGAGAGGGGATCACGGTTACTAATCTTATGAATGTAACTATAATCCAAGACGAAAAACTTGAATCCTCCAGTGTTTTTGTAGGGGGTGCGTTAGCCTCATGGTTAGCGCCTTGTCCTCCGGATTGAGTGGTCTGAATTTGAGCCCTGGCTGGGAACATCCTGTTGTNTTTAATGCGCGCGCGCTAATCACGCGTGAAATTATGCGCAGTAGGGATGCGCATTGCAATACTGGGGAATGACCTCAAGGACGTCAGCGCTAATTGTATCTACGCATTCTTAAGGCTGGTTTTCATTAGCGACGGAGTCGGAGTCGGAGACGTAAGAGCGCTTATGACCTACTGAAAATCGAAAATCGGAGTCATAAGCGGAGTCGTAAGCTCGACGGAATCGGAGTCGGAAGAATCAGAACGTTTCCATTTCTTCCGATTCCGTTTACGACTCCGTCGCTTATGATCTAGTGAAAACTAGATTGTCGGAGTCGGAAGCAGAAGCGGAAGAACCAACCAATCACAAGGCCCAGAATGGAGCATTGTAATTGGTTTATTCTGCCGCTTCTGCTTCCGACTCCGACAATCTAGTTTTCACTAGATCGTAAGCGACGGAGTCGTAAGCGGAATGGGTCTTCTGCTTCCGACTCGGTCGGTTTGATTTTCACCAGGTCGTATCACTCTACGCTTTTGATTATGTCTCCGATTACGACTCCGTCGCTAGTGAAAACCAGCCTTTACTGCGCACGCAAATTCACACGCCACATCATGCATCGATGCGCGCTCTAAGCTATAAAATGCACAATGATAGGGCAGATGGCCATTGCTATGGCTTTGCCTGGATTTAACGATCTTGGTAGTTTAGTGACCCCAATTTCTCTTTTGATGGATCAATTTCTCTTTTGATTTTCTACGTTTAGCGAAAAAATGAAGAAATCTATATATCGATTAGAAGTTTGAACTTTTTGCAAATCCGTTCTTTTTAGCTCTTCGTTTATCTGTGCGGCGGTTTCAAATGCCTCTTGAAGGGTTTAGTTTTGTGAAAACGTTGGTAACATTTGGAATTATTCACGCAACAGACACACTGCTACAAAATATGCCTCCGTTGACTCACCTTCGAAATTTTTAACTTTAGACACCTGAAGACCATGCTGAATTACGTGCGTCAATTTTTCAAAATCAGGGTAGTTTTCCACACGCTTTATCTCTGAAACGAAGTGGGTGACCCCCATTTTTTTTTTTTCATTTCTGACACAAGTAACTCATTATCTGACTGCATTAAAAATTTTAAAAAAATCCATCGACTGGAAAATTTTCGCGCGATCGTCCTTAAGCATGTCACAACTGCCAAAATTACCTCTCGACAATGGCCACTTAATCAATGACTGACGAACGGTGCACAATTACAAAACCACAGTTTTTTATTGTAATAGGTGACGAAATTTGATCCATACCACGCATCGCTCGTCTCTGTTTCTGTATGTTTCTGTTTTATTGATATATATTTTGATTGCGTTACGTATTTACATACAGTATGCTACAGTAAGCATATTTTAAGCGGGGGGAATGCAGTTATGAAAGAACATGTACAATATTGCTGTTTCACACAAGTTTTTCAAGCTTCTCATCGGTTGTATTATATTCATGGCATTTGACACAAGAGCTTAGCTATTTTTTTTTTCCCTTTTCCTGTTTAGTCTCCTCGTCGCCGAAGCAGAAGTCGGAGTCCTTCGCCAAGACGTTCGCATCGTGATTACGACAGAACACGAAAGCGAAGCCGATCTCCAGGCCATCATAGGTAGATATAGCTTTGGTTTGAATTGTTTGTGAGTGCTGTGTGATCCATTTAATGTGAGCAGATTGCAGGTCCAGTTTGGATTTGTTGAAGTTTTGTTTTGCCTGAAAGAGCTGTTCACAATCACAATGCTTTACTTTTAATTTGGTAGGCCGAGATAATTTTATGCCAAAGCTATCTTGAATGCTAGCAAATCACTGAATGTAACAAGGTTGACCAGGATTAGACTCGTGTCTTCTGTCTTACTTTCATCCTTATTTCGTCCCTTCCTCCCTCCCTCCCTCCCTCCCCCCCTCCCTCATTCCTATCATTGTTCGTTCGTTCTTCCCGACTGTAAAGTGTTGAAGAGTATTACCGTAGATGTTCGTTCGTTCATTCTTTACTTCGTTCCTTCGTTTTTTCGTCGCTTTGCTGCTTCGTTCTACATCTACATCTACGTTATGGGGGTCTTGCAAAGGGAGGCATGTTCCCATCACTGCAAGACATTATGTAAAAATAAATAAAAAGCAGGGTGGGTGTGGGAGGTAAAAAACCTTAAAAACATATGATAAAATATGTACACAATTTAAAAAGATTACTAAGAAAATTTAATTAAGATTAAAAAATTACTTCGTTACTTCGTTGCTTCCCGTTGCTAATTTGCTTCGTTGCTTCGTATCTTCGTCCCTTCGTTCCTTCATTCCTTCGTTTTTTCGTCCCTTCTCCTTTCGTTGCTTCGTTCCCTCGTTCCTTCGTTCCTTCTTTCTTTTGTCTTCCCTTTCTTCCCACCTCTTTTTCCTCTCTTCTTTCCTTTCTATCACTCACCCACCATCCTTTCCTTCCGGCCTACCTGACTTATCTTTACCTATCATCTGGTTTAAATTTCTGAGAAGCCCGCTACTCCCCTGTTTTTTTGTGATACGAACGCAAAGTTCCTTTATAATTAAACTCTTTGTTTATTTCTCTCAGACGAAGCCGTTCTCGATCTCCTCGTCGTCGGCGACGCAGGTAAGCTGTTTGTGTGTATTTGTATCTACAGTCTGTAGTTGGTGTCTAGATTTATCTTTGAGGTACTCAAAGAAGCTCAGTCACGGCATTTTGAGTTAGTTTGGCCACGTATAAAATCACCTTTGAATAGAAGAAACTAGTAGTTTACTAATATAGATCAACAGCAAAGAGATAATAATAAACCATCAAGATTAAACCGTAAAAAACTTAGCGGTGTGCGTGTTTTGTGGCTGAGTCTCTCTCCATGAAAAGTGTGATGGTATAAATTAATTGAGACTATCTTTTTGTGTTTGTCGTCTAGTGCCTCCCCTCATAGAAGACGCGGGCACAGGAGCCGAAGTCGTTCGCCTCATCGTCGCCATTCGAGGTCGCGCTCTCGTTCACGATCGCCCCATCGTCGGCGTCACCGATCCAAATCGAAGTCCCGATCAAAGTCGCCGGAGAAATCGTCGAAGAAGTCGAAGAAATCCGAAAAATCTGACAAGAAGAAGGAGAAGGAAAGTGAGAGCACAGGGATGAGTAAAGAAGAACTGGAGATCAAAGAAGCAAACGAACTCAGAGCTAAGCTCGGACTCAAGCCGCTTAAGCCTTGATGACATACCTTGTCGGTTTGAGACTAAAATACGGAAACGTTTCCTCAGGAAAAGATCACTAAGCTGATCTATGATGCTACAATAAGGCACTGTAGAAATAAACCAATCAGAAATCGTTTCCAGGCTCCGCAGCCTCCGCAGTGTATGTGGTTTTTGATGATTTACTTTTTGTCGTCAATAATTTTTGTTTTCATTGAGTAACAGCGGGAGTATTGAAAGAGTTATAAAAGATTGCATTGTCTTTTTATTTTCTTTTGCTCGAGCAGAGCCTGTTTTTCCTCACATTGCTCTCGTTTTTGTGTGTGTGTGCACTCGCCTTTTAGCGCTTTTTTCTCGACCGCCTGTCGAGAAGAGGTTCTCGCAGTCTAGCTCTAGGCAGTCCTTCGCTTTCACAAGTTTCATTTGTCAGTGCAAAATTAAACAACACAGTTCTTTCAATCTTCTAGTTTATTTTATGTTGTAGTTATGACTTGTAATTCACGGTGGTCCAAAGAGAATTCAAAACGCTGGTTGTGTGGTGCAAGATACGGGCGATAAGCATAAGCCATAAATGATTCAATGATGGTAGATTCCGAGAAGATTCCGTTAAATGAAACAGGCAAACGCAAGGGTTGGACACCGCACAGCAGTTTTCGTCGTGAGAAAGTTGCGAGAAACGTACTTTCTACAACAACAACAACAACAACAA